AGAGGAAAATCAGTGTTGCACATCCACCTGCAGAAGCTGAGGAGCCAGTGTCCAGGCACAGAGGGCCTCAGAAGAGGTAACTAATGTCCAGCCACCAGATTCTCACCTGCCTCTCACTGATAAATGACACCTCTTTTTTTCTCCAGATCCTGTCTAGCTGCTCCCATCAAAGAAGACATCCTGTGTGAGAAGAGGGCCATAGGGAGGGGAATACCTGAGGTCTTGGCATCTTAGAGCTGATGGGGAGGATCTGTAGTCAGTGCTCTGTGGGACTGAGCCCTCATTATGCTCCTGGGGGCATCACCACAATTCTTAGCTCTGTGCCCATGTGGGAAAGCACAGGGATCTAAGGAACCGAGAGATCCCAGCATTCTATCCAAGAGGTTTCCACCTTGTTTTTCCACAACAGATGCTTCTGTGAGGATCGTACAGTCTAAGGACAGAGTGGAGCTGGAAAATCTGGTGAGACCCTGTTCCACCTGCCAGCACTGAGGAGCTTCTGGCCCAATTTGGTCCAGGGCTCTTCCCTGTCCTCCCCTCTCTCAGCCCTCAGTCACATGCACAGCTGACCCCTTCCTTCCGAAGCATCTGCCACTCTCTGCTAGGACTTCACTATTTCTTAGTTTGCCTGGGACCATGTAGCCCTTCTCTGCCTCTTCTGTGCTCTTCAGCATCTGTCTGGCTTTTACCATATTCCCAAAGACACCTGAGGGGTTGAGCTACAGCTCAATGGTAGAATGAGAATCTACCATGGACAAAACATTGGGTTTGATTTCCAGCCCTGATAAGAGGACCAATAGGACACATGAGTAAATAAGACCTCGTGCACCTGCGCCCCCTCCACTCATCTCCCATGGACTCACAGGGAACTCCCTCTCTCACTTTTTCTTTTACATATGTATTTGTATATATGCACCTTTGTGGAGGACAGGGTGACTTCCGCAATTGCTCCCCACCTCTTTTTTTTCAGACAGATTTATCACTGGACCTCTGAACCTGGGACTCATTGATGTGGTTAGACTAGATGGTGAAGAATATGAGGGTTCTCAAGTCCCTTTCTCTCCAGAGCTGGGATCACAGGCTTGTGTGGTCTTTTCTAAATATAACATGGCAGGGTGATGGGGATCATACTTCCATCCTTATCTTGTATAGCAAGCACTTCACTGGCCGAGGCATCTCCCTAGACCCTGGAGATCCCTCTTGACCAGGCTCCAGGTAGGAGCAGTGCAGGGTGTGAAGAATACAGTGTTTTAGGCAAATAAATCGGAGAAGGAGTGTGGGGCATACAGGGCCAGTGTGAAATAAAAGGGGAGGGGGAATCTAACAGGTGTGTTCTGACTACAAACCTCAAATCAGAGGCACAGACAGACATCATGAAGAGTGAGGGCATCAGAAAAATGAGGTCAGACATGGAGGAACAAAGCTGCCAGACAACCCAAGTACTCAGAAAGCCCATGAAGACCAGATAAGAATGTCATAGTCTTATTGATGGTCTAAAGAATCACTGGTCACTCTGTAGAACTCTGACTGAGCAGACCCCTGGAAAACCAGGAGACATGGTCTCTGTCTCACTGTTTCCTTGCTATAGAACCCTCCTGATGAAGACCCCAGGAAAGAGGTGTATTCACAGATGAAACCCTCCAGGCTTGGGAAGGCAGGGGAAACCTCTCCTTCCACCTTGTCAAGGAAATTACTCAATTCAAGGGAAGACAGAGAGATGGACAGTGAGGTGGGTCATGTCTTCCTCAGGCTCCAGGTTACCAGTACCAGGCACCATCTTCCTCTCACCCTCTCCCCTTCCAGGCTTCTGGGCCTGTGGCACCCTTGATGTGATCTATGCCTAACTGTGCATGTTGACACAGAAACAGGCTCAGAAGAACCTCATGACATCAAGTGAATGACAGCTGTGCCTCATGACAACCATCAAAGAAGATCAAGATGTGTCCAGTGAGCACATGCCCTGGTGTCCCCCATTCCTGGAAGGCTCTGATCCCATACCCAATGAAGGGTCACTCCAGGGACAGGCACACCCTAGGTGGACAGTATTTACAGAATTCACCTGCCTCCCAGGTTCTGGGAATCACTTGAATGTGCTGTTGAGATAACTAATATTTCTGCATTTTATAAATAAAGCAAAAGACTTGTCAATAATCAACTCAGAGAGGGTCTCCAGGAATACCACCCCCCCACACCGCCCAAGATTTGTGGTTTGGATCTCTTTACCTGTCTCTCCCTTTCATCCCAACATCTTAGCTCTCAAACTTCCCTGGTTCACAGGGATCCTGTCCCATCCTGGATCAGCACACACCTCATCTTTCAGCGAGTCAATCCCACCCTGGGTTTCTGGCATTCTCCCCTGCCCCAGACTTGGGGCTTGGAGTTCAGTCCCTGAGAATTCCCTCTCCCCTACCATCTGAGCTCTGTTCACACCAAAATGGTGAAATCCACCCTAACCTACCTTCCAACCTGCTCACAGAGCAGCTCCACCCCACCCTGCTATGCCCGGACTATGATAGTTTTACTGGGTAAAGTATTCTGGTTTGGCATCTATCATTTAGAATTTGCAATACATTACTCCAAGCTCTTCTGGCTTTAACAATTTGCATTGATAGGTCAACGGTAATTCCAATGGGTTTTCCATTGTATGTGACTTGTTGTTTCTTTCCACTTTCAGTATTCGCTCTTTGTTCTGGGCATTTAGTGTTTTTCCTATGATATCCCTTGGGCAGTTTCTGTTCTTGTCCTATCTATCTGGTGTTCTGGGTGCTGCTTTTATCTGCATGGGTTTGGCTTTCATTAATTTAGGGAAATTTTCTTCTATAATCCTGTTGAAGATCTGGTCATTGACATTGGCCTAGGATTTTTCTCCTTCCACTGCTGCTATGGTGCAGAAGTATGGTGTCTTTACGGTGTCCCATATTTCCTGTATATTCCATTTGTATATTTTTAAAAAATTTTCCTAATCGGTACTAGAGTGATAATTTACTAGCGTTCTTTAATTTTATCATCCAGTCTTGATATTCTTTTTTTAAGTGTACTACATTTGAGGAGGAAGCATGGACATCTATGCCATGCCAACCAGCAGAGGTGACAAACATTACCATTGAAATCTACCCAATGACTTCATAGACATACACAAGTGCCAAGGATCCAAGTGCAGCCGATCATGACTAGCAATAATCAGATACATACAGACCAGAGATGTGTGTGACAGCATCTCAGTACTAGCAGCAAAAACAATGAATCTTTCTGCAAGGAACAATATATTCTAAAATGAAATGGAGATATTTTTAAAGGTTAAAAACTCATTCAATTATAAGTCTTACAGGGCTTTCTGAGTTCAATACTGTATAACTGTATTAATTCAACTGTGAACCTAGAATGATAATCAGATACATACAGACCAGAGATGTGTGTGACAGCATCTCAGTACTAGCAGAAAAACAATGAGTCTTTCTGCAAGGAACAATATATTCTAAAATGAAATGGAGATATTTTTAAAGGTTAAAAACTCATTCAATTATAAGTCTTACAGGGTTTATACAGAGTACAATATATAACTGTATTAATTCAATTATAAACATAAAAATTTACAGCAAATTTTGAAAGAGATGCATCTTAGCTCTGGAAATTGTTATTGAATATGTCAATGCTGTTGTAATGAAATGTTTCTTC